CACACACAAACACACACACACACACACACACAACTGAAATGACAGATGGGTCTCGGAAGGAGGTAACTATAGGGGAAGGGTTGTTTTGTTCATTTATTTGTTTGTTGGTTTGTTTATTTGTTTGATCATCTGAACGTTTTCACACTTTTTTTTTGTTCAACGGGGTGGTTTCTGGAAGTAGAAAAAAAGGGCGGAGGGGGATACTTTAGAAATTGGATTGCTTTGTTTATTTATTTATTTGTTTGTTCGTTTGTTGTTGGTGTTTTTTTTGTATTATTTACCAAAAAAAGAAAAAAAAAGGGAGGAGGTGAATACTGCGGGTGGTATTTTTCGATTATAGTGTAAAGCGCATAGAGCCTGCTGTTGAGCGGGGATATGCGCTATACAAATGCTATCTATTATTATTATTATTATTATTATTATTACTTGTTTCTTATAGTACACATTGAACGAAGCACAGATCGGCCATTTGGAGAAAAAAAATGGAGCTCCAGCGGGCTGTTCAGCATAATGAGACCCAAGAAAAAAGGAAGAAAGAGAGAAGGAAAGAAACAGGTAAGAGAAAAGGTAGAGGCGACACACACCACAGCATATATCAGACGTATAATCTAAGCTGATCCCACATGTGATATACGATACAACGACAGGACTACCTCCGCAGTACACGGGGATGATCTTCCTTCGTTGTTTTACTTTAGTTATAATAAATACAGGTATGTCCTATATACGAACGAAGGAGACGCATAGTTGGTAGATTGAAAAGAACAAGAGGAAAGAAAAAAAAACACTCTTTGAAGTAACTAGCAATTGAAAAGAACGCATACATGAATGAATAGTTAAGTAGAAAATTGCACGAATTAGTGAATAATAGTGTAAAATTAGGACGTGGACAAAATTAAATGGATGAAATCTTAAGACGAATTGCCTTGGAGAAACGAATCCAATTCCAGAAGATAAAAATGAAGTTAATGTATAACATGATAGCTATAGATAGGGGCCTTGATAGACAGATAGATAGATAGATAGATAGATAGATAGATAGATAGATAGATAGATAGATAGA